ATGAGCAACTATATATGAGAACACCTGGGTATGGAGAACATAGAGATGTAAAGATGTGAGATAAAGTGCCAGCAGATAGTGAGATACATTCTTGCTAGAGAGTTTCATTTTTATTTTTAAAGCCTGAACTAGGTATCTGATGTGATGCTTCTGGTGGAAATGATCAACTGCTTCTTACATGTGAACCAGCCTTGGTTAGTTTCTTTTTCATTTTCAGTTCTGTGAAAAGGTTTGAAACAAGTTTAAGCTGAAGCCAAAAATGGAATTTCCTGGATAATGTGAGAACTAGAGCATTGAGTGAAAGTCACTTTGCTCTTTGAGCTTCTCCATGCAAATGCAATTCAAGTAACTAACATTTTTCAGGAGTGTAACAAGTTTGCAAACTCATTCAGAATTAAGTTGAGTGATTATGCAAGGAATAGTCTCAGGTGTTTTTCAGCCATGGCCTTTTAAAAATAAACTGTTTTCCTAGAGTCACCGGTGAAGTGAAGCAGAACATGACAAACACAGTGGTGTGCAGAGTGCAAGGGGAGTGGAACAGCGTACTTGAGTTCACCTACAGCAATGGGGAGACGAAATATGTGGACTTGACAAAGCTGTCTGTGACCAGAAAACGAGTCCGACCCCTTGAGAAACAAGGACCCTTTGAATCTAGGTAGAGTATGTGTTTACTATTGTCTGATCCTTTTTTCCTAAGTAGTCTGGTGAATGCCTTAGGAAAACCTGCAAATGTAGATATTATTTGTGGATAGTGCTTAGCAGGAGTGAGCTTAACTTCTTAATTTTTTTAAAAACGAGAAAGAAGTGCATAACAAGAAATGCGAAAAACAAGTGCAGGCACATGGTTGCTTATCTTATCTCTTTTATTCATGGACAGAGTTGTCTTATGGGTTCATAAAGTACCTGCTAGAGCAGAGCCTCCTTATTTGTTTTGGTTTTAGCCATCAGCTACACAGGGGGTAGCTCTTGACAAAGGAGGTCCTCACAGGAAACTGCTTGTTGAATAATACTTCCATAGCAACTTTAAAGGGTATATAAACAGACATTAGATTGGCACAGGCAAAACCTCGGGGCCATTCCTGTCTGCTCTTAATTGCTAGCATGGCTGTAAGACTCGGCTGTGACCCCTTCCATCTGCACTGCACCATCATGCTTTGACCTGAGTTCGTTTGTCATGTGTAAGTGGAGGGAGTGCTCCTGTCCTGAGAGAATTGTGCGTAGCGATCCTGTAGTTCAAGGTGGCAGGCTGAGAAAACTTGTGAAAAGTGAAGTTAGCGATTTTTTTTTTTTTTTTTTTTTTTTTTTTTTTTTTTTTTTTGTAGGAGGCTGTGGCAGCATGTAACAGAGTCTCTGCGGGATGGAGACATCGATAAGGCTACGGAGCACAAGCGAGCCCTTGAAGAACGACAGAGGAATGAAGAGAGGCTTCGTGCTGAAACAGAAACACCTTGGTGTACTAAATACTTCCTTAAAGAAGTAAGTTCCTAAGCAGTTAGCTGTTGATGAAGGCAGAGGCAAAGCTACAATGGAAGCAGGTGCACATATGGGTCCGTGTCCTGTCAGAATATTTGGCCTTAGATCTTACAGCTTAGCTCCATGGGATCCATAGGAGTAAGGTGACATAAGCACTCCCAAACATGTACAGGTGTGACTTCGCCCTTCATTCCCCAAACACTTTGATTTTTGTGATTCTCTTGCAACAAAATGTTTGCCCGTTTTGTAGTCTGGTTTCTTTTACCAGGCACTTCCTCATGGCGCATGAAAAACACCTTTACATGTACACAGGTAAATAGACTCTAATGGTAAATATCCAAAGAACATAATGAGTAGTACTGATTTTGGCTTATGTTGTATGCATATGAATGCAAGATATTACTGTTGGCAAGAAGGAACACGAGTCCATTCTCAGCTTAGAACCTTTTTTTGTTCTTGTATGTTAGGTTTTGGATGGAGCTTATTTGTTCAGTGGTTTAACCTGTATTTCAGTAATGGTAGTAATAATAATATGGTAAAACTTTTATCAAGGTGAACTGTAGCCTGCCCAGGAAGGCTGGGAACTGCTGGTGTGATAACTTTGAAGTAGACTTTCCTTGTGACCCAGATGATGAGACCCTGCTTGTGTAGAGAGCTTTGCTGAGCCCTTTGCAAGAGGGGAGGGCTCAACTAAAATTTGTGCTGTAGTAGTTTAGATTTTCCTTGTAGCGAAAGCTTTATCTGTTAAACTGCACTAATGTAACTGGCCCTTTTTCCAATATCTGTGATCTAGCAAGGGTTTAAAACCTAGGCTAAAAAAGTTTTTTCCTTAGGTTTCTTCCCAAGTTCTGGAGTATTTGTTAGCTCCAGTAAAGGTTTTTGTTCTCTAAAGCTATGCTAGTACGATTAGCTCAGACTTAGATATTTGTATTGTTAATATCTAGATTTAGAAGAGGTGAAATTCTGTTCCTAATCTGAGCTACAGATCTACTCAGAAAATGTTTAAATGTAATTCTGAGCTACTTCATTTCCGGGTAAGCAGTTGGGCTGTGTTAGAGCTGATAATCCTGGATAGCTGCCTCTCTGCTGGCTTTGTGTTTGGCCTTTTAAAGTAATCTGGATCATGGAGTTGAGAAGCGTGGCTTTCCATCTGAGCTAATTACAAGTGCAGTCCATTCCCAGAGAGCGCTGTGACTTGGCAAGAGTCCATACGTGTTCTGAAGTAGTCTCAGCAGCCTGCAGCGTTGATCTCTGGGTCTTAATCTGTGGAAGTTAAGGGTATAAGTTATGTCCCCCCCGGTTTTCACAGCTATCAGTCTAATAGTGGCACGAAGGAACTTCTCCCAGGAAAGTGTCCTTACTATAACCATATTTTCTCTTTGAATTGCAGGGAGATGGCTGGGTTTATCATAAACCCCTCTGGAAAGCAGTCTCTGCTGCACAAACTCAGCAAACGGACACTAACTAGCTGCTTTAAGACGAGTTTTCTGATTTTTCCTCTCCTTTTCCTCTGTCTCTCAAAACACAGTAATCACACTGAGTGTCCCCTTTTTATGTATTTGTGAAAGTTTAAATGAGCATAAAGAAATGAATATACTAGGGCACTTTAAAGCTATTAAAAAAAGATTAAAAAAAAAAATAATCAAAGTTGTAGAGACAAACTTGCCAGGTACATTCAACCAACTTGTTTTTTGTATGATCCAAGAGATTTATCTGGATTGTGTAAGATTCTTCTAAGTAGAACTGACTGCAAAAGCTGCCTAAGAGAAGAAGAAACTGTTAGATTTTTTTGGAGTGACGTGGGAACTTGTTTCAGAATCTGCATCAAGTTCTTTAACAACTGAAACCTGCTCAGTACCCATGTAGACAACAGCAACAAAAAATTGCTGCTTTTATTTCCCAGTGATTAACCTTTTTGGCGAAAACTGGAAGGTGTTTGGAAGATGTGCCTGAAATCAGTGTTAAGAAGCAACTGGATCGTGATGACTTTTTTCTTCAGAGAGAATGCATGCACGCATCGGAAGAATATGTAGAGACTACCTTTCTTTTTTATGGATTTATAAAAGCAATTAGAATTGTAACCATGGAGAAATTTTTCCTCTGAAACGTTTTAATATACTTGAAATAATTGACTTGAATTGGAAAAGTAATTTGAAAACTTTTCAGCTCCTAATTTTATTAAATCTCTTTGAGTGACTTTGATTTTTCTCATGTTATAATGTAATAAGGTTTGGCCTTTCTTTTTCCTCCTGTACCTTCCCTTCCTGAGGAGTAAGGCTTTCAAAATGAGCAGAAAATGTACAATTTTGTATTTAAATTTCTTTGCCCATCTAATCATCTCAGAGGTGAAGTATCAGTGTTACAAACTGTCCTTTGGATTGTTTTGTTTTTTCTCCTGTGGTGTTACTCAGAACAAAGCAGTGAAATGTGACCTGTGAATACATGGACTGTAGGTCCTGGTTTTTCATCTTACCATCAAAAAAAAAGAAAAAAAAAAAAAGCTGATTATGCTGAGGACTAGGTATTGATTTGAAACACAATCAGGTATCAGGAAACTGTATTCAGGTACAAGCATCCTTTGTTGTTTTGTTTTGGGTTTTTTTTAATAACTATTTTATTGAAGAATTGCTGGCAATTAAAATAGTACTTATTATGGCTTTCGTTATTGTTGTAACTACAAGCTACCTTAATTTTTCCAACAGTGGTGCCTTAATCTGTTTTTTCTTCTGATGTAGTCTTCCAATCAGTGTATATAACATTATCTGCCACTTCCCAGCCATGGCAATGGCTGCACCTGATCCAGCATCATGAGAACTCACAACTGTGTGATCTGGTAAGATGTTTTCCATGGAGAAGACATAAGTGTAAGAATGCATCAGAAGGTTTAAATAACCATCTTAACTTTCAACACAAACTAAATTGTGCAAAACAATTTGGGTTTATGCACAAGTATTTTGATCCTCTTGTACATTTTTTTTTTTTTTTTTTTTTTGCTGTGAAATGCACTGAGATCTTGATGCGAGTCATAGTCCATTTGTGAGAAGTGGGGGTGGGAATAATAAAATTACAAAATGATTCATTTGTTCTGTCTGCTTTCCTAGAGATCAGGTGACCAGGAAGAATAGGTTGTTGTTATCTTTTATGCTGGAGATCTGTCTGTCTGGGCTTTCTTTGGCCTGTAAAGTGGGGTATTTTGGCACAGAAGACTTGACTACCTTTTCCAGCAGAAGAATGTTTTAGGCCATGCTGTCTTGTTTGTGATATTCTATACAACTGTCCTGTTGTGTTAGTTTTGGATATCCATTGGGCATTTTCATGTTTAACCAGGAATAAAAATAAAACCGAAAACAGTGGGATTAGCTCCTCCTTGTTTCTGGGTCTGTGGTATATTTGGGGTGTGTTCCTCAGCCAATTCCAGGATTTGGGGTAGGAATCATGGTGGCAATGCCTGAACTTCCACGGTTCATCGGTACCTGCACCAAACTGGGCGGGGGTAGAGGGACAGAAAATAAATTGACAACACTGTATATGTTTCATAGTTGTTTTATCTGTATCACATGGCAGATTTGCTTTAAACAAACAGCAAGGGCTGTGGTGCAAGGTCCAGCTTTTAATATTGCAGTGATCGGAGCAGAAAGCAAACTTTTATCAGCTGAGCATACTCCAGGGACCAAACTTGTGCTTATTAAAATATAGGCTTATGACTGAGTCACTGAGTTCTGCTTAAAATTTTGATTTGGGAATTTGTCAAGGTGATGGCTGTAAAACAGACTGAAAAGCTCCCATGTTGACCATAAACCCATTTGTGTTCCTTATATATAATATTATTAGTCATTTCTCTTACACTCTCATCTGGTATGCTTGTGGTTTCACACTAAGAAAGCTGTTACTAATCTTGTTGTGTAAAAACAGACCCAATGCTGAAGAAGTAAGTCTTTTAAAATGTATGAAACAATTTATTTTAACATAGGGGTGCTGCTGGAGAAAAAAAGACGGGGGGAAGGGGAAAGAAAAAGGTAAAGCCTTCAGTTGCTCAGATGATCCCAAGAACTGTAAACTGGAATGGCTTCCTGATGTGGATTTAGCTATGATGCAAATTTCTAGTTACTCCTAGAAACAAAGGACATAACTGAAAACAGTTTTTAAAAAAAAAAAAATCTAGCCACGGAATATGCAGCTTAAATTGTAAGACGTTTATGTGATTCTTCTGAGAGTTGCAAGCACCCTATGGACTAATGGATGTATTTTTAACTCTGGCCAGGGTTTGATTCTTCTGCATAACTACTGTTGTTTCCATCTTGTACCTTCTGGAGTGAATGGAAGGACTCACTGCTGCTTCCTGTGTAGATATTTGCTAGAACCACAGTGTGTTCAGCGGGGAGCATGGCAAAATGTCGAATTTCAGCTTATGTTCCCTTCTGTCTTTTTGGCTTCATTGGGCTCCACTGAAGTTAAGAGCAAAATTCTTATTGATCTCAGTGGTTTCAGGCTCCCTGAGTTATAAACAGATTGTGAAGCTTAAATAAGTGGCTCTCCTCAGAGCTGCCGAGTACCCTGCTGCTCATGGAAAACAGAGAGCGTGACAAGTCACTCCTATTTAACGCAGGCATCCAGGCATATAGTCCTGAAAGCTTGATTCTGGACTTGGTTTTCATGGAAAAAGAGTCAGTATGTAAATCAGAGTGTTCAAGATTGGGGAAGGGAGTAGATTGAGAAGTTTTTCAGCATATTTACAGTATAAACTGTCAAGCTCGGGATTAAGTCTTTCTCTCCCCAGGAGAATTTGGATTTCAGCCATCAGAATCGGAGATGCAGCCTTCGGTGTCTAGTTTGCACAGGCTGATCCCACTCTGTCCCAGTGACCTGTGGGAAGAACAGGTCAAAGTGTCTTTTAAAGCTTCTTGAACTGAACTTGGAAGAACAAGTAAACATATTCATCAACATTGTATCCACACAACTGGGTGCAAAACTTGGTATGGGAAATTCTGCACTGAATATTATGGGAAGGAAAGATTGAACAGCCTGGGGGGAGTTCAGTTTGTTCTAGTAGTTTCTTATCTCCATGTCAGAAAAGCTGCCCCATGCTCTCTGTTTCTCTTAGGCATATGTACAGGAGAGCAGTGGTTAATGTATTAAAGAAATGAGACTGAAGTTGGGTGGATGGAAGGGGTGTGTTTATGGTGAACTGAGGAGGATAGGCTTCAAGAGAAACGGGTTAGCTTGGAAAATGATAAGAAGACAGGAGGTGTAGCAGCCAGGTGGGGGATTGGTGAGAATGAAAGGTATGGTCACAGTTGCAGGTGAAGACTTACACATGGTAGCCGAAGTAAGTTTTTGTTATTTAGATTTGATGCAGTCTAATTCATTCCCCTTCCATCCCTCTTCAAAGGGTTTAGAGACAATTTTGTTCTAGGCTTTTAATTTAGGAGCTGTGGAAACGGTCCAAAGAGGTGGGAACAATAGCAAGAGAAGAACTTTTTGTATGGGCTGGTGCTGTCATAGCTGTGTGTTTTAGAAAACCAAAACAGCCCTGCAGATCTGTTTCCCTGCTCCACATCAGGGGTCCTCGGCTGTAGAAAGCTCATGGCTGTCGTACAATTTTCTCCCTTCCCTTCTCTTGTAGGGGTTGATCCATGCAGCTGCATGCTGGCAAACAAAGAATTCCTCTCCAACGCTACCCTGAAAGATACACCTCTGTGTGGGTGAGTGTCAGGTATGGGCTTGCAGGGCTTCTTAGTAGCAGCTAAGGTTTTTATTACCTTTTGCTCCCAAGGGTGTAGGGATTAAGATTTGCACAGTGTCAGGGTTCAGAGTGAGGTATGACTTACCTTTCCTTAATTGCCTTTCCACTACAGAGGCAGCCTGCCTTGATCTGGTGGTTATGGGAGTAAAGGTCCATGTTCTGTCTGATCATGTTTCTTCAGGTTGAGTAACAAAGCAGAGGGGTGTGAAAGAGTTGCAAGAAGAATTAGCCAATGCATTTGTGTTGGCACTTTTACTGTGGCACAAATCTGTTGACTAGAGGTGGCCGGAAATTCGACTGATCTGGAGAAAGAGTTGTCTAGATATCCTGCATGGAGACTTCTTGGAGTGAAACATCCGTGTCTATACTGATGACTTTTTTTTCTATCAAAGAAACTTCACACGCCCACCTGAACTATCAAGTACACCCAGGAATTCCCCAGTGAAAAAAGGTGTGTTTGGAGTTGCAGAAAATCAGGCTTTTGCAAACTGGATTATTGGGTATCTTTACATTGTGTTAAGGAGTGTCAGATCAATGATTACTGTCTGATCAAAGTATTGATCATGGGTGCCAGCATTTCTTCCACCAATGGTGTGTTACATCTCAATATGTTTTTTCTACTGCTACAACAGATTTTGTGTGTGTGTGCGCGCGCGTGTGTGTGTGTGTGCCATTAAAAAAGGAAAACTGAGAATTGTCTTGATCTCTGCAGAATAAGCAGTTAGAAAAGAAACTTGTGATGGCAATATGGAAGGACTTCAAAAGATAGACATGGAATTCAGGTGCTTATTAATAAAAGATTAAACATTATTATTTTAAAAAATAATAAAAGAAATGCTTTGCATCATTATACATTTAAAGGAAGTACAAAATCAGTTCATATGCAATGTTGCACTTTAACCAAAGTATTGATTCCACAGTTCACTGTATCTGTGGCAGGAAACAGATCTTATAAATAAGTTATGTACTAGATCTTAGTTCCATTTTGAAAAACGGAGTGGGGTTTTTTTCACATGAGCTAAATGCCTCTCACTTTTCCTCTCATTTCTCCTGATGAGGCGTTTTGCCTGCTGTGTCACTGCATATTTCTGCTCCCATCACTGTCCTGGTGCTCCCCGCCTGGAGAAGCTGTTTTGCTGGCCTCGTTGTCCGTGTTGTTGTTGAGGATGTCATCGCAATCCATCTGTGCCATCAGGTTGAAGCGCTCGGCCACGCAGTGGGCGGTGAGGCGAGCCTCGGGGTCGTGGTCCCAGCACTCCGTGATGGTGTCGCACAGAAAACGCATTCCCTGCAGTCAGAAGGGCTGAAATTAAGATCTGAAGGCCAGGAGGAAGAGGAGCTAGGAGCTGACCTACTGCAGTTGCAGTGTCTTACCCGACTTTTGACAGCTTCCTGCAGAAACACCTTTTTTGGCCAATCTTAAGCAAAGGAGGGAACAGCCTTGGTAAGTTGTGGCAATTGCCAATGCTTGCACTGCTTGTGTCGGAGCAGCAGCCTTGGCTCACTTGGGATCTGGTCCCAAGCATTTTCCACGCTCCCTGGGAGCCCTGAAAGTTGGTTTGTGTTGACTGTGGGACTTAAACAGGGGCCAGAAGGAAAGAGGCCCTCCATCTCCTGTCTTAGCCTTGCCCGTTCAGATCAGAGCCTCCAAAAATCGGGAGGGACAGGAGAGGTGCAGATGGTGACCTGCCAGCTGGCCACTGAGCCCGTGCCTCTGGGATTCAAGCTTGTGCCCTCATTGTTACACCTGGATGGAGGGGAGCAGTGGGAGGAGGTTCAAAGGCAAGTTTGGAGTTAAATCTGACTTCTTGTTTTAGCAGCTTTCTGAAAGGGTGCCCTGTGCCAAATACCCATTGCAGTGTGCAGCTGAGCTTTGTTTTCTCACCACAAAATTGTGTCTTGGTTTAGGTGGGATTGGGTACTTCTCAGTGTGCTCCAGAACACATTCAGTTCCTCTCAGTTGCAAGGGTTATGTCTCCCAGTAGTATATTTTTTTCCAGTTGTGTAGTGCTCTGAAGAGAGTCCCAATATTTTGGGCTTGTTAACAAAATTGCCGTTTTCAGCTCATATTTTTTCCCACTCTTAAGCTAGTAACACAGCTATCATCAGAAACTATGCTGAACCTTCCTTTGCCTGTGCAATTCCTATCATGTGCTATTGCTTTTTGCATCATTGTCAACCAAGGTTGCAACACAGTGGAAAAATCATTATTCTAAATAAAGCTTCATGTTTTTCAGTGGTTTTTGTGTATTTCTTAATTTGCAATTAAGAGAACCCAAAAGCCTCATATGGACCAACACAAGAGGAAAATGCACATCCTACAGAGATGTACAGTCAGTGTCATCTGCCCTGCACTTCACTCTGAACTCACTGCTTTCTGCTCGGGCTCGTGGTAGTAGATCTGCCATACTGGACACAGATTAGAGAGAACAGGATTGTGCAGTAAAACTGGCAGATGGTGTGTTTCAGTACCTCTTACATCACTCATTTATTAGCTTAGTTGAAAGGATTTGAGGATAATTGATTAACATACAAAAAATGAGCTGGCTTAGCTGAAGCTTTTAAAATAAGCCCTTTCTCAAATAGAACATGGCACTGTCATATGGTTTAGTCATTAGATTTTCTGTGCTTATTTTTCCCTGAAATCATGACATTTGTTTGCAGTTTGCCGTGTAAGTAGTGATGATGCTCTTTTGAGCGGTACAACGGGAACATCTTGTTACAAAATGGACTTAGTTTGGGTTTTATATTTGATATCTCAGATTTCCAAAGGATGCTGAGTTTCACAAGTATATTTTTAGTGGCAATATTGACTTAAGCTCCCACTGCTCCTTCCTGTCCTGTACCAGCCCTTCGGTTGTGCCAGCACAACAGTCTGTTCAAGTGCTTTATGAACTAGATCTGGGAATTAACTTGGCCTAAATAACCACTTCTTTTTTTTTTTTTTTTTTTTTAAATATGTTGGGCTGTGAAGTGAGGTAGAAGCACGTGGGCTTAAGGTGTTTGTAAGTTATCTGGGAAATTCTGGGGATAAATTTCTTCAGTTGGCTTTATTGTTCAGCCTTGCAAACAGTTGCCCTGGAGCTGCTGATGGGAAGCACGCTAGGTAAGTCAGCTCTGTCAGGGAAATTAATGCTTATGTTTGCTGAAGATATTAAACCATGACCAACGGTGTAGGTCCTCACTTGGCTGAGAGTGCTCCTGACAGCTGAAACATGGAAGTGGCATTTGGAAGTCTGCATCAAGCTTGGTTTCATTGGTGGGAATATCTATGGGTGCTTCCCATTCAGGTGAGCAATCTGCCATCCTTTTTTTGGTGTCGCCCAACGCTCCCTCCTCTAGGAAGCTGCTGACCCCAGGAGTGGCACAAACCGGTGGCTTTCTGCTGCTTCCCAGCAGATGGTGCTGCCCTGTGCCTCAACCTGGGGAGACCGGTTGAAAATGCCCGGAAAATCATGTCAAGCCAGGCTTGTAAGTAGATGTTTATTACATCAGCTAAGATTAGTCGGAGGCAAACTTTCAGGAACACAATGTGGCTTTTCTGTTCCTCTTCCCCAGTGAACATCAGGTGGTCTAATAAAAGTTACTGCCTTATAAGCCTTGCTCTGTTTATGTGCTAGACCAACCCAACTACAGCAACATTATTTCTTGGAGGTGGCTGCAATCAGCCCTTCTTCAGCTCAGTAAACACTGTAGTTAGGGTCAAGCTCTATCAGAGTGTGATTTGTGACAACTCAAGCCTCTGTGTATTTTTCCTGTGGTTTCAAAGTTTATCAGAGACACTGTGAAGTGAATGTCCAAGATGAACACTCAAAGGCTTCAAACGCGTAGCAGTGCTGATTGAAGTTCCTGTGTTTGCCTTCATCAAAGAAAAACATTGGGTGAACTTCAGAAATGGACTCACTGACTGATAAACTCACTGATGGCTCAGCAGAAACCACAGGTTCATTTAATGCTGTTTGCAGCTTTGGCTGGTCGGGTTGGTTGTGAGTCTTTGGACAAACATGGTTTTGAGAGGAGATAATGCAGAGAACACATGGCCACCTAAAGTCATAAAATTATATCTTTCCTTTTGAAAAGCCTGGCTTTATGTGCCATCCAGGCAGAGTGGCAGCAGTAGCTGTGTGTTTTATGGGTGGATACTGCAAAATGATGCACTGAACACTGCGAGGCTCTGTGAGCCAGCAGGCTTAATGTTTCAGCTTGTTTTTCAGATGAACTGAATTGTCAGTCAGCGGATGGTGTTTTTCCTCAAGACGTGAAGTTTAAGAAGTACCAAAGCCAGGCAAGATTTGAAAATCAGAGTCAGCATGCCTGTTACCTCTTGTGTCTTCAGTGTGTGTAAGAAAGTACTGGACCTGGGGGAGAGGGGACCCTGCCAGGGCTGGGAGGTATCTGTGTTTCTGGAGCTGGTTGGTCTGAGTGTGCTTGTGGATGGTTTTAACAGAGCACATCTTATTATTGCCAAAGTGTTTCTATTCTAGAGCACTGGGTTATGCTTTCTGCGCTGAAACGCTTTGCTTTTCAGACCTCCTGAGCTGAAGGCTGGTGAAAGACTTCCCCTTGGCAGGACTTGAGCCTTGCAGGTTCCCTGCTCCCGGCTTCACACGTGTTTCCTGGTGGTTTCACTCAAGGGAGATGGTTCCTGTGGAAGCCTTTCTTCTCACGTGCCAAGTCATGACCTCTCACGTTAGAGGTAATTTTGAGTGTGAGACCTCCGCAACCACGCAGGCAGAAGGCTTGGGTGCACCTTCCTCCCCTCCGTCCCTGCTGTGAGATGGCCGTGTGCGAGGGCCGCGCGGTTTCTGAGCTGGAGTTTCCTGGGGCATGGTGGTTAGGGGAGAAGCGGGGTGGGCTCAAACGATACACCGTTTCGTGAGAAGAGCCTGCACTGAAGTGCTCCGTTTTGCTGTTATCCTCAAGCTAACTGGATACCATCACTTGGCATTCATAACGCTTCCTGATCATGGCTATGGATCAATAAATTTTGCTGTACCCCAGTCTGGTGGCATTTATGCACCAGGGAAATGGGTCTAATAGGGCTTATGTGGGCTCAGCCAGCCAAAATGGAGACGGAAGTAGGGCCCAGGAGTTCTGCCCGCTTTTGCTTTGATTACAGCTTGAATCATTTTTTTTCAGCCTGGTTTAGTGAGGTGGGATGATGTGGGTTACCTTTTTCTGAACCAGCTACTCCCAGCTTACCTGATGCACCAGCCAGCTGCTCGGGATCTCGGGTCGCCCTCTGCCATGCAGCACAATGTCCCTCATAGTGTCCACGCAGGGCTGCTCCTGGACTTTCGACCCAAAAGGCAGCTCATAATTCTTTACCTCTGCAAGGAAGCAACAGCAGCATTATGGGGTGTTTTTAATGCATTCGCTGCTTTGCTTTTATACAGTCCACCGGATGAGAATAATTTTTGTTTTTATCAGCCTGCAAAAATAAATGGATCTGGAAACAATTCAGAGTTTGAACATAGAAGCATAGTGCTGGGTTTTCATGTGGAGGTTGTTTTCAGAGACAGGACTGAGGAACGATCTGACCACCTTCCCAAACCCAACAGATGCATTACAAAGGACTTGGTCTGCCTTTGGGTGAGATGTATTTTGAGCAGGTAAAATGTGTTGTGCTGGTGAAAGATGGGAGAGGCAACTACGGTACCAGCATCCAGATTCCTGCTGCGGGCATGGATTGGGTTAGAGGAGAAATGGCTGTTCCAGAAGAGCAACCCCATGTCATGGGAGGCCAAAGAGAAACTCTCTGTTGCAGAGGTGAGAGGCCACCCTGATTTCTGCCAGCTCCTTCCCGGACACGGATGCAGGTGAAATGCAAGTGGGGAGGGATGGCCCGGGATGCTGGCACGGGAGCAAAGGATGCATGGGGCATCTGAGCCAGGCCAGGGTCTCCCATGGCCAATGTGGGGCACGCAGGGCATCTGGGGCAGCTTTCTTGCTGAGGGTTGGAGCTTCTTACAGCTCTGGGGGCTTGTATTGCAAGTAGGTACAGGGAAGGAACCAGAGAGAGCTAAAAAGGGAAGAGAGGGGAGCAGGCAGCAGGGCAGGCAGGGGCTTACAGCAGGGCAGTTAATTAAATGTTTTGCTACGCGTGATTTCAGATAGCAGGATGTGGCTCCAGGAAGCGAGGGGGGACGTGGCTCTGTCAGAGGCTGGAGTTTGCGAGTCCCTGTTGCAACATCAACTCTGGTGTTGTCTGGAAAAAAAAGCACTTGTGGCCGGGGAGGGGGAGGCAGCTTCGGCTCTTCCTGCTTGGTTTACTTTGCATTGCCAGCACTGACTGGGATGTGACTTGGCGCCTGGCTGGCTTTGAGCGGGGGATGGACCAGATGACCCCCTGGGGTCCTGTCCTGCTCCTTGGCCACCAAGCTGGCCCCCCCTCAAGCCGTGGCACGCAGGGCGGGCAGCCGTGGGGGAGGATCTGCTGCCAGTTCTTAGCAGCCCTGCAAGAACCTCTGCCACCCCAGATCAGGTCCTGTGCCACCACTGGGGATACGAGGTGAGCCACGTCCCCGTGTGGTAAGGAAGGGAGCAAAAAGGCATGTGGCAACCCCGGTGTGATGCTCCTACCTCCTACCACTTCACATCTGGAGGCCATTTCCCACAAAACAAGGGCCATGGAGTAGACGTCCATCTGCTTGAAAGACTCCAGGTCTTCCAGGTTCACCCTGGACTCCAGGACCTCTGGGGCCATGTACCTGGCGGTTCCCACCTGCCCGCAAAGAGGAGAGAGGCGTTAGTAATGTGGGCGAGGACTTTGGCCGTGGGGTGACCAGGGGTGGTTCGCAAAGGGTCCCTTCCAGGGACAGCTGGTGGGTCATACTTGCCTGCCCGCTGTTGGCAAAGTCATCCACTGTCAGGGAAGGATCAAGGCGTATGGCAATGCCAAAGTCACAGAGCACGCACTCCTGCTCGTTCTTCACCAGGACGTTGGTGCTTTTGATGTCCCGGTGGGCAATGGGGATTTTCGGCCTGCCACAAGCGGTGTAGTCGCTGTGGAGGTGGGCTACCCCGCTCACCAGGGAGCCTGCCATCTTCTGCAGGTCCATCCAGCTCAGGACGTGGTGGGAGAGGTAGTCCTTGAGGTTGCCCCGGCTGTGGTAGGCGGTGATGAGCCAGTACTCCCGACGGGGCCCCGTGCCACGGTCCTCAGCTGTGAGGAACCTCAGGACGCTGTCGTGCTTGAGGCTGGCGTCCGTGAAGATCTGACTCTCGTTCTTCCAAGAGGAGTACTCCTCGCAGGGGAAGATCTTCACGGCCACCGTCTCGTACTGCCCCGAGCGGCTGTGGCTCAGCTTGGCCCTCCACACCTCCGCGAACTGCCCTTTGCCCACCATCTCGTCCAGCTCGATGGGGAGCAGCTCGGCGGGGTGGCTGCTGGCGCTGGCGGGGCTGGTGCCGGCCGGGCTCTCGTCCATCAGCACGGACAACTTCTCCTCCCCATCAGCAGACCTCCCCGGCTCTGGCAGGGCCGGGGGCTGTCCCGGTTTCCCACCCCACGCCTTGGCTCTCTTGCGCCGCCTCTGCGTGCGGCAGAGGTAAAATATCACCGTGATCATCACTGCCACCAGCAGCGGGGGCAGGAGGCTGATGGCGGCCACCGGGATCACCTCCTTGCTCTGCAGCATGGAGTAGCCTGCAGGGAGGAAAGCAAAGATGAGGGTGCTGCCACCGCAGGCCTGCGACAGCTCGTTTTCATCACGCGGAGGAGGAAAATATGAGAAGCCGTTAATGAAGCACAGCCCTTTGCTGGGCCGTGTTGCACTCCGCGCACAAACCCCGTCCCGGCAGAGAACCCAGATGTAGGCAGTTATTAAGGGGGCTGCTTAGCTGAGGTCTCAAATTTAGCTCCATTTATCAAATTGAGGGTTGGGGACCCTGGCCGGCATTACTGGGGCTGGGTGGTGTGGCACACGAGCCGCTGCTGCCCAAATGGCTCCGCTGCCCTTCGCTGCCTCCCAGACGCCGCTCACGTTCGCGGTGAGGGGACCCGTGGTGGAAATAACGGTGCTGAAGCTGAGGCGAGGCTGGAAGGGAGCAGAGCTCTGAGGGGGGGGTTTGGGGCTGGAGCTTTGCTGGACCCCTGTGGTGTGCAGAGAGCCGGGAGCGATGCTGAGGGGGTGGGCAGCGTGCAGGCCCACCGAGCCCGGGGGAGCGCCGGGGTGCTTTGCGCAATAATTAGTGTAAAGGAGAATCGTTTCAGCGGTGTCTGCCAGTGTTGGCATCTCCTTCCTTGCTGTGTTACGCCACCAAGCCCCACCAACCAAGCAGGCATGGGTTCTTTTGTTTTATTTCTTTTAAACCCCTGTCAGCCTTCAGATCATCGGGAGGGGACACGCACACAAAAAGCCCTAACCCTCGCACAACATATAATTGTCCGACCCTTTGATGTTCGTGATTCCTGGAATAAACATGCTGACTTCAGTAGAGATATTCAAGTAAAATCTTACTCAGAGGTTTTTCTGCCAAGTATAATAACCCAGGGGAAGAGGGATAAGAATCATTCCATAAGCAAAACTCTCGCTGCTTGACCTCAGTGTGTGCAGATCATAATTCAGGTTCTGGAAAAACAGAGCGTTTAGCTATTTTCCTTGGCAAATTTCAAAAAAATGTGCTGCAGCTAATTTCTGCAAGGCTGTGAAAGCGTTTCTAAAATAGGCATCAGGTTCAAACCACAAGATCAACCTAAACTGATATAAATCAATAACTAACTCAGGAATATGTTTATTTTGGAAAGCGTTAGGCCTGGATATCACCTACTGCTTTAATGGATTTACCCGATGCTCAGGATCCCATCTTTGAAACTCTGAAGAAAGAGAAGATATTAGTAAGGGAGTTGCATGCATGAGTCCTGAAAAGGGGAAGTCAACACAGCTTCAGCAAATTCCTTTGTGAGGATGCCCCTTCCCGCTGCAAGCCCTTTGATACGGAGGGGTTGTGGCCCAGCTGAGACCCCTTCCACGGAGTAGGGGCTCCGGCGGTAACCGCGGATCTGTAAACCCACGCCTTGTCAAGCAATGTTGTGTGGGTCTTTCCATCCATCCGAGGTGAGATGGACCTCTCAGGCCAGGGGCTGCCGGCGCAGGGGTGGAGAGGACACTGCACGCTCAGCCCTACCCAGCACCTTCCCGAGGTGTCCGCTGGGCTCCCGCTCCCACGGCTTTGGGAAGTGACGCCTCGGCGTGTCCATTAGGGTGATCTCTGGGCTCTGACAGGGTCCCCTGCACCCCAGTGCTAGGGCAGTGCCACCCGGCAACCCAGACCTGAAAGCAGGGGACCTTAAAGCAGCCCAGACCTCAAAGGAATGGGAAAAAAAAATCTGCCTGCTTCAGCCACCCTGCGAAGTGCTCATCTGTATTCGATATTTCTCTGCTCGGCAGTTGTCTATACCATTGGAGACGATCGTAAGTTAATATTTAAAATGCAAATGATCCCTTAAAGCAGAAGGATGTAAACCATGGGGTCTCTGAGCCTGGGGCTTGCCAAGCTGGCCCCACAAACCAAATCAAAGAGGAGATAATTGTTTAAGGCCTGCACGGCTCTCACTCCGAGTTTCAGCACTTTACGTGCCGGCTGGCAGGAGGAGGCTGTTTGTGGAAGCCTTTGGTGGGGGCGGCATTTCCAATGAGCCAGTTGTCATTTTTATGTGAAATTACATATCCCAGCATTGGCTTTGGGATTTGACTATCTCTCCCTAGAAGTGTGTGTACCTGTTATATTTGGCTCAGGAAGCAGCAAAGAACTGCCAAATTTAGCATCATTTGCCTTCATTAAAAGTGGCTTGTTTGTTCTGAGAATTTGCATTTTATGTGATTTTTTTCTTTTTTCCTTGCATTGCGGGAGAAGCTATGCCGCTGACTTGCAGGTTATGCTTGGGCTCATTTTCAGCATCTCGTTGCTCTATAATTATGGAAAATTGGAGGGGCTTCACTTTGCTTTTGTTACAGGTTAGATTCTTGATGGACACTTGGATAAACCTGGTCCATTTGGAGTTAGGGAGGTTTGGACAAGCCCCCAGAGGCTCAGAACGTAGCTGGAAGTGTTTCCAAAGTATATGACCCTCCCGAGGTACAGAAACAAGCTGCCTCTTAGTTTTCTCTCTTGTGGATTTGCAGCTCCTGTTGGACCTCCAGCCATCTGAGAAGCGTCTACGGGCACGCCAAGCCACGCTCACGTACGTGTACAGCACTGGGGTGGCTCTGGCCGTCCCTGCCCGAGAGAAATGCCGCTGCAGAAACCCTCAGGAGAGCAGCAGGGGAGGCACCGCCGCGGGCCGACCCCCGCGCCCCGGCACCACCACCCTTTTGGGTCGCAGCCGTGGCGGATGCCAGCAGTTCCCGTGGGTGTGCCAGGGCAGGATTAGCTCCAACACGATTTATTTAAAGCTTTCAGAGCATTGACTCATGCTGGGTTACATCAGCTTCTGGGTTCCCCCCGTTGATTCACCCTGCGCTGAAGGGTACATCCAGCCTACCAAGAGATACAGTGGATTTTCCATCGCCTGATGTTTCCGGGCCGAGGCTGGAGGCATTGCTGGGGGGGGATGGTTTAGCCACAGACAAGATACTGGGCTCGGTAATGGGGTACAAATTTTACCTAGATTTTATATAGGAAGGTCAAAGAAAATGTTGAAAGAGGTCCTTTTGGCATTGCATCTCCCACTCTATTGGAAATGTAAGTTATTTGTCGTTAGCACTGGGTGCTTCTCCCTCTATAAATAACATCAGTGAAAGTACTCACCATTGGTGTGGTTTTCAAAGATAAGTTTATCGTTGCACTCCTGCTCGTCCACGCAGCCGCAGATGTAGATGATCCCGTCCTCGCTGGGCTGATGGGTCATGATGCAGCGCGAGGTGTTGTAGTTGGGGACCATGAGGTTTTCGATGGGGCGGTGGGGGTTGTGGCAGAGGGTGCTGATCCTGATGCTCTCGTTGTCCTGCCTCCTGCATGTGCCAAACGAACCAACAAAGCATTAGTCGAGCAGCTCAGCCTTTGTGTCACCTGGGTGTCATCTTAAACCTGGTTTTAAGATCATTCGTTTTAAGTCATGTAGGGAATGACTTGTTTGCAGCTGCTCTGGTATAAATCTAATTACATGTGCCTTGGAGGGGTTTTGTTAAAGCCCTTTGTCTCTTCCAAATGGTGAAAAGAGAAATGTTTAGCACATGCCAATAGTAGGATGGGAGCCAGAGACTCCGATTGTTTCCAGTAGATAATTCATCATTTCATAATTGTGCCTGGGATCAGGTAGCGCCAACCCTAAGGCTGAGTGCCCTGTCTGGGATTTGGGGCACAATTCCTCTTTTACCAACACCAGCTGCTAGGCCAGCAGGTTTTGGGGCTGCACGGTCCTAAGGAAACCCTACAAAATGAGGGTCCCACCTTGTACATCACCTCTGCTGCAATACAAGTCATAGCAGCTCTGCCTCAGCAGGGGCTGGGGGCTCTGCTGCCCAGATTTCTCCTGTGCAGGGGAGAGGCAGGGGGATGAAACACCGGCTTGCCAGCAGCTGCTTCTCTCTGGCTCCTCTCAACCCAGATGTGCAGGCGGAGCCCGTAAGCGCCCTCTCATCCCCTGGGCTCATTCTGGGCTAATTGCTGGTTGTTGCGCCCTGTCCTTGCAGGACCATTTGCTCCTGCCTCCAGCGACCTGCGGTAGTAGAGCCCTTCAGTCGCTGGTCAGGGCTATTTCTAGGAATGGCTTGACCTTTGGAGCTGCCAAATTATAATGTGAAGGCGATAGGGCTCCCCGACCATGGGGCTGTGTCTGCGTTTATACCACAGCTTCAGACACCGAGCAGCTACAAACAAAACCTGCTGTGTCACCTGGTGATGTCCTGGTCCTCACTGGGTCAGGGGCAGAGGAGTGCTGGGGCTCAGCACAGCCAGGCGTGTGATGGCAAATAATCCCTAGCTCCTCCTTATTTCAATGTAGATAATTAAGAGGGAGGTAAAAGCATAATTTCTTGGCATTTATAGGGAATTTTTTCTTTGTTTCAAAAAGAAAGGACAGACCTGCTATTTTTTTTTTTTCTTATTTTTAATCACTGTGTATTTCTTCAGCTCTGTGTTACAACCTCTGTGTCAGATGGTCATAACATCAGCCAGAGGAGCCCGAGACATCCTTCCCACTGTCTGAGAGGTGGGAGCTGGGGGGGCGTGAAAACTTCACAAGAGATTTTTCCCGTTCTGGAGTGAAGATGCAAAATATCCCAGTGTCCATGTTGCATTTAGCTGCACGCAAGTGTTCATCAAGTGAAACCTGTTCAGTGAGAACAGGTGAAATATTTCAAGGCCTATTACCAAAAAGTCTCATTCACAAAACTCCAGTTACTCACTGAAATATGGCTCATAGCATCAGCTCTAACTCCATAGCACTGATGTCCTTAGAGCTGTATTAACCGTCAGTGCTCGGCAGCCAGGTTAGGTTCTTCTCACATGTCACATTTTTTGCTCAGCAGCACCTAGATTGGGCTCCCGTTAAAGCCATGGAAAAGTGTCACACGAAGACCAAAAGGATGGGTTTGGCTCTGGTTGTTGTTCAACTCCTCAAGCGCAGGGTGCTCATTTTGCTGGAAAACCCCAACAGATTTGGGCAGCATTGGCTCAACATGAGGGGGCTTGTCTAGAGGGTCTGACACAGCCGTGTTCTGGTGCGTGGGAGCTCCTTTCCTTTGGTGTGTGGTAGAGTCGTCCTTGTTGGACCCATGACTTCATCTCCACCTGCTGCTTACCAAGCTGGGTGAGGGAAGAAGCTTGAGGAGCAAATGATGGCAAACTTCAAAAACCGGGGTGCCCCGGTGGATTTAGGAATTGCTAAGCATGAACTAGGTTATGTCCCTTTGCGGGGCAGATGGTGGCAGCTGAAAGGAGCTGGAGGTTGGAGACGGGATTAGGAGGCAGCTGTTGGTGTTGTGACAAAGCCTCTTGCCTTCGGAGAGCTGGAGCAGAGCTAACACAGGCTGCTGGCATGGCATGTGAGATGTGCCAGGCAGCTCGGGGCTGGATGGCTCCTGCCCTGCCGGGGAAAGGCAATCCGGGATGTGGCTCTTCTCCTGTGGGGAGCAGCAGTGCCTGTCGTGTAGAGCCAGTGGATAATTAAGACCTAATTAAGAACTAAGAGCAGAGTGCCTGGGTTTGACCCCTGTTTCTGGAGCCTTCCCCAGAGGAGGCAGGATAACCCGGCATCGGTCAGGTTTGCAGGGCAGCCCTGGGGCGAGGACGAGTGAGGAGGAACGACCAGCCCTGCATGGGCAATGGGCAGCTGGCGAGCGTTGCCGCTACTCCTGGGGGCACCTGAAGGAAATTACAACCATTAATTACTTTTCCAGGGACAGCCTCTGCTGCCTGACCTAGTGGGAGAGGGAAGGTATGGAGATGTTTCATAATGCCTTCAAGGTCAGCTGGGAAGTCAGACATAAAAGCGGAGAGAAGAACCCAAATTTGCCATCCTCTCCCTGGTGAAGTCCCCTGGTTTCAGTGCTCCCCACATTTTCTTGATGTTCCCAAGTAATTTGTCAGAGGAGATTCCAGCTGAAGAGTCCTAGGAGGGTGCAATCTCTCCTCTGTGGGCTTCTCAGGCTGGGCATGCTGGAGGACATGAGCATCTGGCTCATGAACGTGAGGCCAAAGCTGCTGCTGTGACTGTGATATCCATGCAGGACAAGTTCAGATGATCCAAACATGCCCCTGCAAGTGAGCAATGGCCAGCGAGGCTGGGTTGGAGGTGAGCCCAGGCTGCAGGGATCTTAATCTCATGATGGGTCTTAGCACAGGGTGGGAGATGCTGGGAGGAGGCTGAGGGGGACAGCAGGTTATTTGTTATTTTGCAGCTACCTTACCCCACCCGATGCATGATGCAGTCCCACCCCATGCCATGGGATTGCTTTCCTGGCATGGGGATTTATGCTGCAGGGGTCCTGATTTTTCCTGTGCATGTAGGCTGTCAATGGGAAAACCCAGAAAGATGTTGGATTACCTACCCAGGATGTAAGGTGACTTCCCCATGTGCGTGTAGGGGAATCTGGGGCAGGGGGGTGCATTTTGTTTATTTGTGTTTCTTGTTGGTTTTGTGTTTTGGGGATTTTTTAAGTCCATAATGCAACAATTATGTTGAGGCAAACTCCTACTGAAAGTGGGGCGTACAGCATTCACACTAATTAGCAGGTTGAGATAAAGCCTAGCGATAAGTGCTTGGCTGGCTTTCACTTTGGCAGCCAAATTAAAAGGGAAAAGGGAGGAAAATCACTCTGGGCAGACACAAAATGGATGTTTTTTTAGTTTTGCTCATGGGGACCAAAAAGCTGGGGGAGGCACTCTTCCAGGCCAAGCAATGTGGCGTATGCTTGGCCTGACATGCAAGATTGCATTTCCCTTCCAGTCATCTTCTGCAGAAGCAGAAAAGTCCTTTTCCCAGGGGAAGGGAAAGGGGGTGGGTTAAACCCCGGTTTGGTACCAGCTCAGATATCCACGTGCTGGATGGGTACAGACCTTGGCTGCACCCCTGCACGTGAACTGGGGTGTCACCACCCTGATGCAGGAGGACATAATGGGTTTGGATGTCAGGGCTGCTGGTTTTGCCCTTGGGTTCAGCCTCTAAAACTAAATCCAGGGGTTTATGGGGGTTTAGAGGTCCCTCAGCAAACTTGCCACACTTTGTGTTGGGCACTTAAACGCTTAATTTATTTAGAAAATAAACTGGTACTAATTCTAGGGCAAACCAAATAATGTTTTACTGCAAATTGTAGTTTTAACTCTAATGGAGTCAAAGGGAGAGGAAGAGAAAGTCCTGAATTATTTTAATGGGCGGAAATTGAATTGCAGGGGTACCTACATATGTGTTCCCATGAGCTGCCACCCCGCAAACCCCTTTTTCCCCCGCATACCCCCCTTGATGAGGGAATTGCTGCTTACCATATGGCCACGCAGATCTCGTAGGGGTCCTCGCAGTAGGAGTTGAGGTTGCAGTTGCTGTAGCACACCTTCTCCTCGCAGGCCGGCGGCGTGGAGTCGCACCACTTGCACAGGTTGGTCTTCAGGCTGCGGCGAGCGCCGGCGCTGCAGGCTGCGGGGGCAGAGAGGGGGCGGAGGGTGAGCGTGGTCATGCTTGCCCGGAGAGGGGAAAAATGACATGCACAACCGGTGGAGAAGGAGCCCAGATTGACCCTATTTCTCCATGCGTTTGTTTATAGCTCTCATTTCGCCCCATCGCTTGGTCAGAGGTGCTTTACGTTATGCCTAGAGGAGATGGAGGGATGCTGGTGGTGCGGAGGCAGGTCCCGCTGGACGACAGCTTTGCACAGCCTGGGAAGCTGCAAAACCTGGGTTTTCCCTCTGTGTTTCTTGTACTATTTATCACCAAGGGGAAGTTTATTTCTTCCTCTACAACGTAGGGTCAAATCGGCATCTCCCCTCATCCTGAGTGCATGCGGCACCCAAAATGGAACATCTCTGGGTCTCTGCATACCTGAAGACTTTATTCCCCTTTCTGGAGGGAATAGAGGTGCTGGGGAGGGATGTGTGGCCCAGCTGGGGCAGCTCCCTCCTCTCCTGCTGCCTCCTCATCCTCCCTTTACTCGCTCAGTAAGCCCGAGCTGGGAAATGTGTTTGCCACCCGCTCCCTGAGCATCTGTGTTTTTGGCAATAAACAATTGGCTGAGACTTCCCGAGCTCTGGGGCAATGGGGGCAGCTCCCTCCGGGGCTCCGTTGCCTGCTCTGCCCCAGCCCGGCATGAGATGCTCTCCAGCCCCTGCAGCGGCAGGAATAACTGCTGCCCGTGTGTGCTCTGCATGTATCTCACGGGCATAAAATTATCTCTATTTTTATACAAAGGGTGAATGAACTATGCTCGGTTAAGGGATAAATCCCAGCTAAATTTGAACTTCCTGTTTTAAGGCTGCTAAATGTCTTTTTTTATTTTTTAAAAAGAAGCCACTGAGTGGCTTATGTAGAAATATATATAAATTTTTGCTTAAATAAATACACTTCAGAGTGTTCAGGTAGGAGCATGAACTACAGCAGCTAATTTTTTGAAGGTTTAGGCCATCCGTGCTTCTCCAGCTGCCTCCTCCCCAAGCTGCCTGGCAGCACCGGGTGCTCCCAGCCCCTATGGAAAGGGCAGTCATGGCCCACTGTGCTGCAACAGCCATCACAGGGGTTTTCCATCAGTCATTAGTTCGAACAAGGAACAAATTGCAAAATCCCTGACTATGGCTTGCGAAAGCCTCAGTCCCTGCGAGCAAGGCCCTGCTGACACAGAAGCACACCCGTGGGCACCCCTGGGTCTGTGGGCAACCTTCAGGACCTCCTGTATTCGTGGTGGTCACATCTGCGACCTGCCCAGGGCCAGGCTGAGCCTAAGGTCCCTTTCCTTTCTAATGAACGCACTGTCCCAACAATAAAAAGGGATTTTTAACTTCTCTGCTTCTCAAATCCAGGGTGCACAGCCTGCACCTCATGTGCTTGCTCTGCTTCCCTCACCAGTCCAGACCCCCCTCCATGCAACAGCCGTAAAAGAGCTGCTGGAAGGCTCCTGCACAGAAATAAACCATTTACAAGCTCCCATGGCCTCATACGTAGGGCCAAGGTTAATGGTGGAGGGGAAACCTGGCTGCAGAAGAAAAGCCTGTTGCATCTGAAGGCTGGAAGGAGGAAATTTTGGGTTAAATGACCCATGTGTGGCTTAAAACGTGGCTCGGCAGGGATTGTGTCATGCAAGGCGGTGGGGGAGCTAGGAGCAGAGCGGGTGAGGGTGCTGCCCACAACCTTTCACTCATCATTCCCCTGTCCATGGGGCTGCTCTGGCCCTGCCAAGGCACTGGGGGATTTTGTGGGTGACCTCAACAGACCCAACACCCTGTATCCATCCAAGGGTTAGTTACTGAAATCGTGACTTCAGCCAGCATTTGAAGCACCTGCAGCCAACACGAGCCACCCTCTCCTCCCCGCCTTGCTCTGCTGAGGCACGACTTGCAGGATCCCAGGCAAAACTCCTCTCAGGGATGACAGTTTTGGAGATGGATCAGAAATTCAGCCCAGCATTCGCACGGGGCTCTCGATATACAGCGACAGCCACCGCACTCTACAAACTCCATCGGTGTTATTATGTAGGAAAGGAGAATGGAAGGTAAATTGGTTTCTCCCCCCCAAAACCCAGCCCTACCACACCCAGGGCTGTGTTCTGGTGGTGTCACTGCCATATTTCTTCTTTCACCCTTTCAGCTCAGCCCAGCCATGCCCTGGCTCGTGCTGTGCCCACAGCATGCTCGTGCAGGACCGTGGGCTCAGCACCATCATCCCAAGGATAACTGGGGGCCCTGAGGAGGAGAAGCAAATGGACAAATCCAGGTCCACTGAAATGCAGAAGAGCAATGGGGCTTGTTATTTATGTGTTTATACCCACCGAGTATGTTATTTACTTATTTATATCGAGGGTTTGCTTGAGGTCTCAGAGCAAAATGTCAGCCCAGGCAGTTTTGTACTGGCACGTGTGGTGGGGATGGTAACTTGGCAGTCATTTGCACTGTGGAGCAGAGAATCCAGGGCAGATGAAAGAGTTAAATATGGAAACGAGATCCAGAAATACAGCGGTAACTGGACAAAATTCTTTGGAGACAAATTGTTCTAAAACTAGTGCAGGCTATGATTCTGTTATCTGCTCTGCAAGAAAGGTCAGAGCAGGAATATCTCTTTTTTTCCCCCTTCTCCTAGGAGGCTAAAAAGAAGAGCACAAAGCCCACTGCCATTTCTTCAGGACTTTGTGTCCTTGAACCATTAGCTCTTAGGTACAATTTAATTGCCACATCACTCATCTTGGCCCTGATTAGACCCAGATGAACACTTTCAATATTAATACTCAGATGATTTAATAAAGCTGCACGAGCAGTAAAAGTAACAATACACTTCCATAAAGGGGTTCCAGATGTTGCCAAGGCAAATGCTAAACATCAAAATAAAAACTTCAAAAAAAAAAACAAAAAAAAAAAAAAGACAAAAAAAAGCTGCATAAGCAAAACTTGGAACAAACTATAAACTAATTAAATGTGGGTTGCGTTTTCCAAAACTAAATTGAAGCCATAAGGACGTGATGTGAGCCAATAAATAGTACAGTTAGTCAAAGTTACTGTGGAACGACAGTTGGAAAGATGGTTTAAAGTCACTGATAGGTAGGTTCACGGGAAACTTGGCTTCCCATCAATGGGAAGGCTTGTTCTCCTGTGTACGAGACCGGGATCAATTCTTCTGGTATCTATAACTGGGACCCCCCAGAGGTTACTGAGAGAATACGAGATGATTTTCAAGTAGAGGAATAAAGGAACAAACTATGCCAAAAGTGCCCAAATCGCTCTTGCAAGAGCAGCAGGGGTGATACCACCACCCAAGGACACCATGATATTTTTCATGCATGTTGGGGCAGCCCTCCAACCTCTCACTGCCCACAGGGCATCCACACTCTCTGCTTGGCCACCTGCAAGACCCATTGAAGCACCACTGCTGTAGTCAACGACGCATCCTGTTCCCCCATAAAAGAGTCATCTAAAAGAGCTCTCCAAGAGAATTTCATAGCAGTCCCATCACTGCAGCCACGGAAGCAGTCAGCTCCCAGTGAATGAGCTGTTTGCTCGTTTGCCAGGTGCTCAGCTGCCAACGGTGACTGCAGCTGTAAGAACCCAGCGGGATAAATTGGGTTCTCATTAGCTCGTTTCTACTGATGCAGCCCCAGAAGGCAGGTAGGTCATCCACCACCTAACTTTGGCTCTCACTCTCTGCATGCTGCAGTCCCCAAGGAGGGTGAATCACTAAGGAGCAAGTCTGGGAGGCATGGTGCATTTGTTACAGGAAAGGAGAAACTGCTTCATAGATAAAGCGATGGTAGGTGCAGGCAATGCATTTTTGCTGCGGGGCAGAATGAGCAGTTTTAGTTCTCAAATATTCTCTCTGGCATGCTGTTTTGTGACAGCTAAGCACCAGATGAGCTTAAGGAGGGGTGCTTGGTGTGAGATGCTTAAGGCACTTGTAATGAGCCCCAGCTCTTCCTCTCTCAAGGTGGAAGGGGACCAAGGCCTCTGCCAGACAGGACCTTCAGATTATGCTCCATCTTTCAGTAGCAAATTGCCCTTAAATTGCTTTTATTTTTCAAGGGTAAAGAAAAATTGATCACTTTTAGGTCAGGAATGCTTTATAGTGAGGTCTACCCCCTCTTCTCTGTGTACCTTAAAGCACCCCGGGACGGGGTTGATGCTAACTCAGCAATTGCAGAGGGCTTCCCAGCTTGCCGTTACTGCAGTGGCTCCAGGAGCTCTCTGCACCATCTTTTCCACGCAGGTCAGCCAACCTGCAATCCCCAGGCTTTGCACTCAGAGGGACTAAGGCCTGGGAGACCAGCTGCCATGTTCCATGTCTTTCTCTAATCATCAGCACACTTAAACACAGGACTGGGGAGCACCTCTATCTCAACCCTGCAGCCACGTTTCTCCTGGAAACTGCCAGGTAGGTGCCCTGATGGAAATGCAACCTGTGCTGAGACCTGCTTTCCCACCTGGGCGAGCCCGGGCTCAGCAGCAAGTCCTTTGTCTGCCACCAAGTTTAGGATTAGTCTTTGCCGTGGGCTTTCATCCACGGCTAATGACATGAGCACACAATAACAGAGCCTGTTGTAAAATTATTATGAGAACAAACAAATTCCTTCCCTATTATATGCAGTACTTGTTTTTAAGATTAAAACAACAGCAGGGCTGATGGGCTCGGCTCTCTTGCTGAACCATGTGAGAACACCAGGACCTTGGTGTTCTCCATCGGCAGGTTACTCCTGAGCTGCCTCCTCCATGAGGCAACCACCAGTGCCACGGATGGGCTATGTCAGGGTAGTTCTTATGTCCCTGATTTCCAGGAGATCCTATGCAGGGTCAGAAGTCCACATTGCAATTGTCCAGCATGACCTGCATAACAGAGATCCCAGAATTTCTGCAGTCAGCTCCAGCTTGATCTAGATTCAATCTTTTGGAAAGCACCTAGTCTTGCTGCAGCATCCCACAGCACTGCAGGATATCCTCGGAACGAGACCTCAAGGTGTTGTACTTTTATTTCTGGTGCAGCTCAGTTTCCTCCAGCACAGTTCTGTTCTTCACTGGTGGGATCCAGTGCTGCTTTCAGCTGCTGAACCAAATAGGTTCCTAGTATCATGGCACTCTTCTCCATCCATGTGTTTTATAAACACTATCCTCATCTTCATAGGAGAGGTAAAGTAGACCAAATGGAGCTGAAAAAACTTACTATCCCATTTTTGTCCCCTGCAAGGCACAAATCCCTGGCTCCCCCAGAAAACTCAGCAGCGCATTTGGTTCAGAGGACCAGGCTCTGCCCTCAGGTATGTGGTCCCACATTGTCCTGCATAATAAATACTGTACTTGGCAGAGTACAGTATGGAGCAAGGAATGAAACAGTAATGTTTCCTGGTGAATAAAAAAGGACTGATTTTGATTGCATTAGACATCAGTGCTTCCAAGTGCCAGAAAGACATGCAGTATACATTTCTGGTTTGCTTGGACCTTCTTCAAACAGGCTGGTAACTGACTTATTCCACCACTTATTTTTCCTTTGTGAAAATATCCCTTTAAATTAAGTGTTTAGCAAATACTGCTTCGTCCCATTACAAAGTAAATTGGGTATGGATCGTACCAGCAGCCTTTTCCAATCTCTTTCAGATGCTTAAATTACATCATGATCTAACTTCACCCTGGGGAGAGACAAGCTCTGCAGAATATTGTCCGTCCTTCTGCTTTGGTAATCTCCGGTATTTCTTGGGCACCTTTTGCAAGTTGTCTACGCATCAGTGCAAAGATTCTGCTTTTGGGGTGTGGGGACATTTCATACTGTGGCACCCCAGGGTCGTGCCCCAGCAAAGCTGGCACCGTCCGGGCGAGCTGGAGCGCCGGGGGCCAGCGCGGTGGTACCCGGCGCTCGGCAGTGAGGGTTTGGCCCGAGAGGTTTCTCTTTGATTTTGGCCGGTTGATGTCTGCGCCTGCGGGCGAGGACAGAGGGATCACACCCCACCCCACGGTCCCCCGTCTGCCCTCACAGCCACTCGTGTCCTCCATCCACCACGACAGCCCATCTTGCTCATGCCCAGAGCACTGAAATCAGGCAATGCCAGTGACCCTTCTCCTCCGCCCACAGCAAGGTGCTTCCCCTCCGGGACATCTCAAGTTTTCTGTCCCCGATTTCACTTTCTGTCCCCTGAAGCTGCTCGTGCTGGGACAACCCCTGCTCCAGCCCTCTAGGCCCTTGTTTGGGTTCCGGAGCTCTGGGTGCCGGTGCGGGGCTGGCAGGGAGCAGGCGGGGACGCCTGCGACCGGAGGGCTGCACGGGCAATTATCTGCCATATTGTGCTCTCGCTTGTGTTTAAAAACAACAACAGCTCAACTGACTCATAGATCTTACGGCCTCTGAGTCATTTTTTATTTCTGGATTTCACTGCTCTGCCCTTTGCAATGAAGGGAGTTGCATGCGCGCGCGTGCACACACACACACACATCAAGTTCACATTTGTTTTTCCCCTATAAAAACAAAATGATTTCCATACCATTAATGAAACAGAAATGATTTGACTTTGCGTATCCTGGCTTTTATTTTCCATTGTATAAACTCTGCAGATGAAATAATGATGGTTGTAAAGTAAACCTGTTTTTTTTTGTTGTTTTTTTTTTTTTTTTTTTCCCTTTCCAGGCAGCCTCTTCGAAATAGCAATAGGGAGTCACTTACAGACTTGGCTTGCGCTGAGTCTGTAGTAATTAACCCCTTCATCCCTAGCTTTTCCTCTATAGATATTTAACCACAGCGTGGGTGAAAGCGGCAGCAGGTCTCCCCTGGGATTAGAAGAAAAGTGGGGGAGCAGATCAGGCATGGAAATGCAGGAAAGGAGAAGAAGAGCTGATCTGTGCAAAGCAGTGGAGTGTGCTTGGCGTGACGCATCCATGGGTTGAACAGCTTTCCTGGGAGAGCTGGGGTGCTGCCACTGCAGAGCTGGAGGTACCTGCAGGCTTCCTGCACACCCCATTTTTTTGGATGAAAGTCAGCACCACTGTTTTGTGTTTAACCTGGCAGCCCCCTCCTGAGTCATCTCCCTTTCTTCTCGCTCCCCAGGAACTACCAGTGCTGACATCTCAGAGAAATGCCCTCTCTCCTCCAAACCGCCACTGCGGAAGTAATCTGCGGTAAATAATTTAATCACCAAATCATGCTCTTTCTGTTTACAGGGCTGTTACGGTTTTATGAAGTACTCAGAGGAGTATTAATAGGGTGAAGTAATACCTTACACGAGCAGCAGATACAGCTGGAGCTGGGCGCGCAAGCTAGTTCCTGCCTTGCCTTGTGGGACAGGGTGAGCTGCCCTCCCCATGGGAGTGTGTGTGATCTCTGCTTTTCAATATACCCTTACCATTACACATGGTCTGCCCAGGCAATCTGTCTGTCTTCAAGGCTTCTAAACATGCCACAAGCATTTTTCCTAATCACATTTATCATGCAGCAGCACAACCCTGCATCTCCCCCCCGCATCGGTTCAGATGCTTTGCTGATGCCTGGCCCGGGTGGGTTAGTGACATGGGCTGAGATACTGTTACTCTTCCCAGAATGGGTGATGTGTTTTATATTATTTCTCTTGGATTTATTAAGCATTATGTAACTGGCTAACCAATCCCGCATGCGACGCAATCGCGGCTGATTTCATGTCAGTGGAAAGTAAACAAAAAAAATGTTCTGAAGTGGCTGAACTGAAATTAATTTCCACATGCAAAGCAATTCCTGGAGGATCTTCCCCATCTCCACGCGGCTACTTTGCATCCAAGCTCTCATGCAATCCATTAGAAAAGAGTTATGGAAAAATTGCATGTTGGACATGACAGGGTGTTACAAGCAAATCCTCTCTGCTTTCTCCCTGCATGAAATTATTAAGATAAAAATTATTTTACTTAATTATTTTTAAGCGTCTTTTTTGGATTTCTGCTGCTCTTTGAAACATTCAGCAATGTCTGAAAATGTTGTATTTCTGAGTCCATTTTGCTGATACACTTAGCCTTCCCTGAAACATTAGTAAAGTTGGTGGCTGGGGGGATGCCTGTTTGCATGTTATTTGCATTATTTTTTCAGTGAGCCCCCAAGCACCTGTTTCACCCAGGTAAGTAGCTAAGTCCAAGTTAATCTGAATTGCTGAATTAGGCCTGGCTGGGCTGATGGATCATGCAGCAGGGCTTGCCAATTGCCAGGCTGCAGTCTGAACATAAAGGTGACACCAAAGCCGTGATCCCAGGGTCAGACGACGGGTCATGAAGGGCCAGGACAGGACAGGACAGCCCTGAAGGTGATGCTGGTGGGCAAGTTCACAGCTCCACATGGGTGTCACCACTGCACCTAGCTTTGTACCGACTCGTCAGATGAGCAACGTTGTCCTAAAACCAGGAGGGAACCCACAAGTTGAGGGTTTGTTCACCACTGGAGGCTTGCTTATGCCCTCAGGAGATGAGCAGGGGTGCCCACAGCCTTCCCTGGGAAGGTGGCCCGAGGGAGGGTTGAAAGTTAGTGCAGGAGTCCCTCAAGTCGTACAGAATAGCAGCTTAACACAGGGGTTTTTTGCTCCCTAAGTGCCGAGTGTGTGCTGGCTGTTGTGGGTTGCTGTGTAATTACGGCTGGTACCTCTGGAGCCATTACCACGCCAGGCAAAAACTGCCCTGGCAGACAACAGCAGTTGTGAGTTTGCTTGATAATAACTGTACTTATCCCATTAGGCATTCAGCAGCTCCTGGTTAAGTACTGGGCTGTGAAAGTCAAATGAGAGGAGCTATGATTCAAACCAAGGCTCACAGCTGTCCTGTGTCTGAAGGTGCAACACAAGATCTCGGTTGGCAACAAGTCCCTTTCACTGTGCTTATTGCCCCTATTCCTTTCTTTTTCATACCTTTTGCTGTCCTTCCCATCCATGCATGGCATTGGAAAAGCCCTGAGAGAGCAAGCCAACCTAGCAGCACAGCCTGAACAAGTTTTGGGGCTAGGAGGGAAAAAACTCCCACAGCTGGGGGTCAGCCCAAGGAAAAAGCATGTATACACGCAGTCCTGTGTGGTTACCTCCACCAGCATCTCACCATGGCCCCATCACCGCAGCGACTCCCACCAGTTCAGACGGCGTGCAAGGGGAACGTGCCATTTCTCTTTGTTGGATGGAAAGCAGAGTAATTTTATTCAAGGTCAGAGGAAGGGGGAAACTGCCAAGTACAATGTTCATAAACAATTTTAGCAGCTCTGCCTGTACCTCTGCTTACCTGGAGCTTTGCAGGGTAAAGCAATGTATTAGCATACGTCATGGCGTGGTGTGTGTAGGCTGCTGGTGGGGTTTGCAGAGGGCTGAGCTAGCACATCCCCCATGGAAAGTGCTTTCTGATGGCTGGGGATTCACATGTCATGTTTTCAGAGGACTGACGTTTCAGCCCTTTGAAAAGCATTTTGCAGTGATCCTGTTTTGACTAAATCCTGATCCCTTCTTCCCACCTCCCACACTGCTTGGGAGAAGGAGTCACAGCCTGGCCACGCACGGGTGGTTTGAGCTCATCTTGTTGCAAGCCGCTGAAGAAATTGCTGAGGATTTGATAGCACTTGCAGGTCTGGGAGCTGAATGGCAGAAGGTAAGAGTCAACCAACTCCACAATGCTGTTGCCATTATTTTTGTTGCTCTTGTTTCTCCAGAGCTCCCAACAGTCTATCCTATGTCCTATTTAACTGCAGCTCCTGCATCTCATTCTCAGGAAGATGCAGCAGTTATGAGTCCCTATCCCTACACAGAAAAAGCAGCAGTAATATACCTAACAGCACAAGCATGTGAGCTGCAAGTAGTTAAGAAATTGCTTTGTCTTAACTACTGCAATTCGAGTAGAACTACTGCACAGCAGGGTTTTTTTAGTATTATCATCATATTATACTCTGGAATTCAGTTTTGTGTATATTTTTCAGGCTCTGCAGGAATCCTGGATTTCCGTGAATAGATGGAATTGAAATTTAAAGATATCGTCTAAATAGGTAAACATGTCAGAAACATTATCTGGGTCACATTTGGGCAACAGGGTTTGCTCTGTTTTAAGTGCAAATGGTTTACTGATGATTTAGATGAACTTCCTGAGGAGTGTTTGAAATTCCTGGCACACGTTCGATTTACCATCTGCTAGAAGGACTTTGATGAGCCCACAAAGAGATGTTAGACTGGAGCTGCTCTTCATATCTCGGGTGGACTTTTTTGTGTTTTTCTGCGTTTGTGTTATTTTGGTTCCCGAGGAGAAGTGGGGCTTGCAAGGGACTGTGACAAGCTGCTGGGGCAGAGATGTTCTGTTAATTCTCCATCAATGTGCTGTCATCAAGTTGTTCCAGCACTGCCTGTTCTTTATGTCTGATTAAATTATTACGCAGAGTTGAGTTTTGCCCTCATTTAGACCAGATCTAACAGTAATTAAGTAATTTGTGCTGTCAGAGGGAAATTGAACTTGAGGCTAGCCTGGACTACAGACGCTAAAAACTTTCTCGCTTCTCCTAAAGGGTCCCACATTTAGCACATAAATAGATGGTATGTTCTTCTCTCATTTATTTCTTGATCTCTTAAAAAAAATACTGTTTAAGGAGCTTGTGTTTTAACCTATCAAAATGCACTGCCCAACAGGTTTGAATTCAACTTGAATATTTTCCATTTTTCTAAAGCAGAAGAGAGCTGTGGCAGGAGGGCAGAGGGAGCATTTTTTAGAAAGGAAATCTTTGCAGGAATGGAGCCGAGTCCAGTTGACAGGGCCTGAAGTGCTTTTTCTCTGCACATGAAAGTAATGGTGGGTTGTGTGTCTATGTGATGTCTCTTGAAAGATCCCTCTTGCAGGAGAAGGAGAGGGTTCCTGCGTGGGTAGAGCTGCAGCACAGCTCTGGGAAGCCTTGGTGGCTGGAGAGGACAAGGTGCAGGGGGCAAAGCTGGTCCTCCAGCATGGAGGGACGCACAAGGAGGAGAATGTTCTTTGTTCACTGTCTCCCATGCTGAGATCTCGTCATTCTGCGTTAGCACATTACCTTTTCAACCCTGCATCCTGCCCCAGGATACCTCCCAAAACATGCCACGGTCAGAGCAATACTTCTGCCCAAGAGCTGCCTTTGAAGCTGCAGCCTGTTGCAGCAGTAATAGCCCTGGCAAGGGTGAAAGAAAAGCGTGGGACTTGTGATGCTATTTTACAAACAGGTGAGCACAGGACAAATATAGAAAACCAGAGTAAATGTGTGCTGAGGAGATGTCACCCCCAAGCAAATAGCCTCGGGGTCTGGTGGGAACATCTGTGACCATTTTCCACCACTGAGTGCCTTTTGGCATAGTAAAGACATGGTAGGAACCGAGCTCCCAGGGGATCCATTGGTCTTATTTCTGTGGACAATTGTACCCTGGGTCTATTTGAAGAAGGATGATTCATTCAACTGCTCATTGCTTATGGCTCTGTGTGTCACTTCCCATTGTAAGAAGAAGGGTCTTGTTTGCTATCGTTGACTAGTTGGGGCTAATTTTGGGATAGATCTAGCATGGAAAAAATGCTTTACACAGCAAGGCAGCGGCTGATTCAGTTTCTTCCATGCTGGATGCTGGTGTTTAAAGTCTCCCAGGCAGGAAGTTTTATCAAGCAACATCAGACAGATACACTTGTCAGGGGACACGGGCATTCATTCTGCATGGGTGGCATTTTATGAGATGATCCACCTGAAAACAGCAATGGATCTTTTAAAATAAATATCTATAGCAGTATTAATTGTAAAGATCTGAGAAGCACCTGTAGTCATGGCACTCCCAAGAACCATTCCTGGGAAGGGGGCTGAGATCCTGATTTTGCAGGAAAAGAGAAGAAATTCTTCTCTGGATTTCTAATGCCAAGTAAGGTAAGAATTCACACTGTCAGTATTGTCTTTCTGATGGGGTGCACGGTGTCCCAAGGCAATGCAGGACACAGTCAAGCCTTTTGGTTTGGAATGGCTGAAGTGAGAAGGGATCGGTGTCAAAATCTCAGGGTTGTGCACTGTTGATCTAAGGAAGAGGGCCCTCTTAGTGGTGTAACAACCAGGAGGCCAGGAACTTCAGCAGATGTTTGTGGGCTCCCAGAAGCAAAGATAGAAGAAAAATGTGTTGTTCACAGAAAGAACACCTTCACGGGGGTGTTGAGGGAACTGAAAAGGCTAAGAGATTCTCAGATATTGGGGCAAGGAGATGCCTTATCAACAATCAGGCCACATCAGTCAGTGTCACCTCGGGTTATTGCTTCAGGGCTCAGCCTTGACTGGACCCTGGTCCAGGGCAATAAGCCAGCCCTGCTGCTGACCGTCATGCTTGCACTGGTTCCAGTTGCTGGCACAAGCTCATCTGCACTGCTTTGCATGCAGGGCACGTATTAGGGTGTGACAGTCCTGGAGGCATGGACTCTCCTGCTCCCAGGCATGGGCAGAGGACTTGCCGTTGTGTGCTGCAAGGGGTGGACAACAGCTCTTTGCAGGCTGAGTGAAGGCAGGCATGCATTTCCTTCAGACACCTTCAGGCCTCATCGGCACTGACTCTGGAGCCAGGGCAGAAGCTGCTGGGGATGGCTTTCTTTGGACCTCTGCTTAGCCAGGACAGCTGGAGTTTCGGACCCAGCAGAGAGTAAATGACATGGAGCTAAAGGGAAATATCTCCTGCCACAGTGTGGCAAGGTGAGAGGTTTTGCCGCAGGCAGAGTACGTACAGTATGATGCTATTTCAACTACTTTGAGAGTTGTGGCCAAGTTTTGGGTCAAACTGGAGCATGAGACTCTGCACAGTGACACCCAGCAGCTGCCACTGCTGGAGCTGCACATCAGCTCCCCATTACAGCTCGCTTCTGCCGATAGCTGCAAACAGCACACTGGGAATGTTGAAAACTTTTTTTTTTTTTTTTAATTTATTTTAATCTTAAATTCAGATGTAAATAATCCTGTCAAGGGTAACACTTGGGCTGAGGTGTTTCTCTGGAGCTGCTAGAATCTACATGGGCAACAGCCCTCCAGCCAGCGCAGACTGGCAGGCTGCGATGTACAGCTGACTAGATATATTAATCGCCCCAACGCTGAGATGCTTTTGCTGTAGTATAAATCAGCTATCGTTTGTCAGGCATGTTCCTGCCTTATCAATGGGAAGCAAAACACTGCAGTGGAACAGCTCCATGAAAGGGTAAGTCCTAGGGTGGTATAATTGGTGGGAGCATGGGCTGCAAAGGGGCTTGCATGATAAAGCAGGCTCTCCTACTTCTCCTAAAATCTTGACAGCTACCAGCAGCTGGCAGGAGAGTTTCAGCCCTACATGGGCTGTAACAAAAAGATGAACCAACTGATGAACAAGAAATATGACTCTGATGGACGTTACAGATCCTTTCCGGAGGCAGGATCACAACGGTCATTTGAATTCAAGGATGTGCATGTGAGCAGAGCCAAGACAGCTTTCAGCCACCCCTTCATTTCCCCCTAAAGATCCCTAAGGAAATGTTATCCCACAGTTGGGGTCCAGCACAGAGATAATGGAGCTGTAATCCGCAGGTTTGATAAGGCAGGCAGCCATCAGTGGTGTTATCTCCCCTCTACACCGAGGCCCCTTCCAGCGCGAGGCTTTCACTTGGCACACAGCGCTAAACACTGGATGTGAAAAGAGCAAAGTGTGTGGGAGCTGCTGATTTTGTCTCCTTGGTGGGACTGTTTTTTTTAATAAAAAGATCAGATGTTGTGCTTCCTTGAAAACATGACAATCTATGGGAGAGTTCATTAGTTTACGGCAAGTTGCAACACAGTGAAGCCCAGCTGAAAGCAAATGTTATTGCAAAGAGTTATCACTAAGGGGAGAGGAATAATGTCCTGAGGAAATAAGCTCGACGGAGCAAAACATGGAACAATATAAAGCTGTGGAGGACAGGCGGTAGAGTTGAACACTTTCTCAGAATAAAAGCCCCCGGTCACCTGTTTTTAATGCCAATGTTTGCTTTCTGCATATTCAGTGAATGTGGGATACATCTGTTCAGGACTCCATCTCTAATGGGAGTAACAAGTATCATGATTGCAGCTGGCTGAACATTTTTACTACCAGTATACAAAAATGTCTTTGTGACCATCATTAAATAGTGATAACACCACTAAAACACCAGTAAAAATAAGCTGCTTTTTTTTTTTTTTTTTTTGTCTGGGTTCTTTGTTTTGTTTGTTTGCTTTTGTTAGAAAACGGTGTGTTTTAATTTCAAGTTCCATGGAATTATATTTCAAAAAGGACTTTACTTCACAAAGCCCCTCACTAAAATACAGATTTGATGATGATTTTAATGATGACCAGCCTGTCTCAAGTCTGAGCAAAGCTGGAGATGCAAGTGGAAAGGAAACGCCCACTTTCATGAATCTGACACAGCTATACACTGCCAGTTTTCTTAGCCTTCAGTTAGTCTAACTTACACCAAGGGCTGAAACTGTAGTATCAGGTTTGGAGAAGTGTAAAGGTGAATTAAAAATAATCCATCACTTTTCTTGCCGAGTCTTGTGACACTGGCAGCACTGCAGAGTTTTTCATTGTCAGGGTTTTTCTTGTGCTTTCCCTTTTTATTTCCTAACTGGAGAATTTGTTGTAACTTTGGTCTTACTTAGCCCTTTGGTAGGATGCACAAGTTTCTCCTTCAGGCAGTGGGATGCTGCACCTGCCCCCAACCTAGCTACCTACACCCAGCCAATGGGGGGCCCTTGCAGCCTCTTCATTTGTTATGAGAGTGCTAATTTATTCTTTGGTGTTTTGGCTGTCTTAAAACAACACCAAACCAAAGTATGTTGCTACTTGAGAAGGATTGCCATAACTAACCCTGCAGCTATGTGTCCCAGGGTAGGCAGCACCCACCTCCTTGTGCTGTGTAGCCTGAAGAGAAGAGGTCCCCTCTGCTGCTCCAGCTAAGCTCCAGCAAAGATCCTTTCTGCAAATAGATGTATTTGCCTGTGAAACACAGGGTGACTCTTCCTTCATCCTCTCACCAGCTCAGGTTTCACCCCGTGCTCCTGAATTGTGTGTGCGTTGGTGTTGGGGTGTAATCCCAATAGCTCCCCTGCCCAAGGAGCAGGCTGGTGTTTCAGTGGCACTATGAGCCCTGGTTTTAGCTCTGGTGACCTTAGAAATAAGAGGCCGACTTCTTCAATGAGCTGCCTGAGGAGCCTGGGATAGGTCAGAGATTTCTTGAGCAGATCAAAAGCCAGAGATGTTTTTCTGACAGCCCTGGCGCTCCCTGTCATGATTTATGAATTATATATGCTCTATATATTTAGCCAAAGAGGCTCACTGGGGGAACAGGGGCTGGTTTGTGCAAGCAGGAAAGAGCATGTGGCTTCAGAGAGCCACCATCTACCAAGAGATAGCCCCTCGAATGCGGTATCTGCAGAGCCCTCAAAGTGCCTTGAGGGACTGTGACAAAAGAAGCCCGGGAGACTCACATCAAAAAATATCAGGATATATCAGCGGGCCAGCGTTTTAATGGGAGAATGAGTTATGGGGAAGCAGACCCAAACCCTGGGAGCTGGGAGCTCTGGATTCAGGGCAGCTGACCTGCAACCTTTCTCGTTTCACAAATCCTCTTTATCTTTGGAGCTTCAGCAGATCCTGTGGGGTACAGATCTTCCTTGGTAAGTGCTACGTGCCCTGGCAGATTTTGAGTTTCGTGTACTCTTTTGGAGGTTGGATGCCCAAAGGCACTCTGCTGGGCTCCTGGGGCTCTTCACGCCCTGAGAGCTGTCGTCACACCAGTGACACTTAGCTCACATTCTTGAGGTTGTCTCAACAGCTCAGAGAGTTGTGGTGCTTTTGTCTCCTCTCCATGAGATGAGATTTTGCTCAGCCCCATGCTTGCATGGCCTGACCTGAGCCCTATTCCTGACAGACAGAGCACAACGGAGACTTTCCTGATTCTGATGCAAAACGGGGCAGGAAAACTAATTATTACTTTAAAAGCCAGAGTGTTTCCATGTGCACAATACAGTAATCCTGATATGAAGTCTGTAGCTTCTGAATTGGTTATAGTCTACTGAGCAGATAGCCTTGCAGTCTTGAAGGCTTTGAGCAACAAAAATCTCCCACATCCTGAGCCTGAGTAATTACCTGCTGGAACAACTTTACTGTGTTATGGTCTAACACAGAAGTGCCTGGTTTCAGCTTCCAGTGTGTAAATCTTGTTTTTCCTCTGTCCCATAGAAGAGGAAGCCCTCTGCCAGAAAGCATCTCTCCGGGACCTGTTTATAAATGACTAGCTCACCTCCCAGCTCTCTCCCGACCAAACGGAAGACATTGAAAGCCTTCAGCCCCATCCACCCTCCCACCCCCCACTGTAAGACAGGTTTTCCAATCCTAACCAATCCTTGTATTTTTTTGTACTGCTCTAGGTAAATCCAGAACTGCACCCGTTCTTTGCCCTGGAAGGATTCCCTGCTCCCCTGTATGAAGGTTTGTGTTAGCAGTGCTGCAACTACAGCTCCTGTCTGCACCTTCTGCTGAGAAAGCCATGCCAAAATGCTGCCCTCCAGCAGCCGCTGCCACTGGGGAGAAGTCTAAGGGTAGATATTTTGAAACTTTGCTAGGGCTGGCCAGGGAGAATTAGGGAAATCCAGAAGCTGAAATTTCAATGGTCTCTCAGACTACAGTCCTTTTTTCATTGAATCATAGAATGGTTTGGGTCGGAAGGGACCTTAAAGATCATCTACTTTTCTGTTGTGTATGGACAAAAGAGGCCAGATGTGCTATCTGATGACTGTTCAACCATGTTGGTGATTAAAGGGATAGAGATAGGCAGCGTGGAGCACAAATTGGGGTCCAGTGCCCCAGTGTAAACTCTTATGGAGAGCAGTGAAATCCCTAAAGATGCTCAGCTGGAGTTATTCTGGGATACCTGAAATGCAATCCAGATTGTGTTTTCTATGGCAAGTCTTAAATCTGTGCTAAGAGGAGTGACTTTGCTGCTGTCACCAACATGGCACTGTCACTCTTTAGAGAGAAACTGGATGAATGGTGGGATTTATTGCTTGAAGAACAGCTGAATGTGTATTTTCTGTCAATTTAGGGAACTTGCTGTTCCCTTGTCTCTTAATGTCAATGCAAAGTGGGCTGCCCAGGTACTTTCACTGTCTCAGGATGACTGCAGGGTTAATCTTAACACTATATACAAAGGAAGTGGATGTAGCTCCAGAAAACATATATCACTGTCGAGGTGAATCACAGAGAGAAAGCCTTGGCTTATTTTTTTTTCCCCATACAGAGGCAAATTTTGTCATCATATCACTCACGTAACCTTTCAGATGAACTTAGTAATCACGATATGTTTTGGTTTGGCTTCTTTCAGATTAAAACCTTGCCTTTCAGAAAAAGGAAACCATAAGTTAAATAACTCCAAAATTAGGTATTTCTGAAGGATAATTAGTGGTCTTCTTTCTTACCAAAAACAACCCAAGACTGTGCTTTAAATAATACCTTGTAGTAATTCCTTCAGTTCTGCTCCAAATGTGATTAATTTAGCAGGATGTTATTGGTATAGCATCCGACATTTCAAACCACACTTTAGGGTATTATCTACAATAATGAATACTATATATCTCCGCAACTTTTTGAAAAATCAACCAGACCTGATGTCCTAAATCCCCCCATCTGGGTCTTCTGTGCTTCGACAGTTGCACCAAGGTTTGTATTTGCCTACACCCAAATTACTGACCGATCATATTCTTTCATTACCTATTCCTGTAGATAGGGGGACCCACGTAAAGTGAATGCAGATACAGATCCCTGCCCCCAGTTCTTTCATTTGGATGCAAAAATACTGGAATTATAATCTTCCTACTTCATTGCTTTGAGCAAAAAGCAGTTTTAGTTGCACTGAAATTGCTATAGTGAGGGAAATGGGTGTGTTTTTGTAAAAGAGGTCACTGTAAAAAATGCCATTGTCTGTTCAAATTTATAAATATATACTATATAGGGATATATGTACATATACACATACATAGGCACTGTATATACAGAAAGACACACACACATACTTAGGAGAGATGTATATAACACTCACTTATATACAAATCTATTCCCTGTTATGAAACAGTCATCAAGATATAAACAAGAGAAGTTAAACCATGGATGGGCACATTTTCAAGTGCTGCTGGAGGGTTTTATCTACAGTATAGAAGAAGTGCTATCAAAACCTAAACAGGGCACTTATTGCAAAGAAATCTTTATGTAAGTGCTGGAAAGGTTTGCCGAATAACCAGATGTTGTTGCAAAGACACTTCTCCTCCCCCTCTCCCCATTTCTTTCCTTCTTTAATAGTTCGATTAATTCTGCGCATAAACCGGGGCTGATAAAAGTTCTAAGCCGCAAACTTCACCACATCTGGACACTGTTGAAGCCAGATCATTCAGCGGTGCACTTCAGTTGCTTTTAATCTCCCTCAATAAAATAAAAACTTCCAACAAGTAATGCTGACCTATATATATTTTTGCACTGTAAACACTGACATCTGTGAGCTGCTCCAAGCGAGCGAGCAGCGCTTTCCACCAAGGCAATCGCTCGCCTTTCGCCGTACGAGAAATACACAGCTGATGCAGTTGTAGCAGTGTATTCTACTAAATTCTCAGCTATTTCCAATCCTTCAGCTAATTGCTGTCAGGGGAGAAATCAAAGATTAGCTATTTTGCTGGAGGAAGGAAAAATAAACGACCTCTCGGAGTATGTTGCTTAACGGTGTCTAACCAGAAACATTTTTCTACTCACAGAAGGAGAGCAGCAGTAATGAAAGCAGACCCGGTCTCCTCCAGTAACCCATCTTCTGGATCCGGCCAGTGACCAGAAGCCCAGCTTCACGGCGTTGACCAATTCATCTTCCCTCGGTGCAGCCAGTCTCCTGCGTTTCTGCTGTCAAGCCCGGAGCCCCGAGTTTGCGAGGCTCCCGGCTGGGCTTGCCGGGAAGGCGGATCCAGCCGCTAAAGCCCAGCTGTGTGTGGGGTCCGCCCAGGAACTGCAGTTTATGAACAAACTAAGCCTGACTCTCCTCTCGAAATATATACAAATATGGGAGGGGGGAGCCGGGGGAAGAAGCCAGGCTCCGAGAAAAAGAGTTTGATTTTTTTTTTTTTTTCCAATGACAACGCAGAGCTGCTCCCGTCTCCATACGGCCCAAGGACCTTTGAAGGGGACCTAATGTCTGCTGCATGCATCTAATCAAAAAGGCATGGGTAGTCCTGTATGCTTCTTTCATCTGAATAAAACACGGAAGGTAACACTTCAATATGCTTAGCTGCCATTAATTCACTACTTTCCCCCCCTCCTTTTAGAAATTAACTCTATCTTTTAAGTAAACTTCAATGGGCTGTATTTTTAATGAAATAATTAGTAGTTTTAGGGCAGCTTTTTCAGAAAGACCACATCAATATGAGTTTAGCCTAAAGTAGGTGCTTTTGACCCATTAAAGCAGCAGGATTTAAACATATATGTTTTCCTGAATCAGGGCCTAAAATAATAACATAGAGCATTTAAATAGCTGCTTTCTCCCCAAGATCTCAAACTGCTTTACAAAAACTTGTAAGAAATATTACCCCACTTACAAAAGGGACAGGGTGAAATGTAGCAGAAATCTGACTTGCCTGGGTTGTTAACGCAATCAATCAGTGGCAAAAGGAGGAGTAAAATCCTTAAACTCTTGCCCTATGATCTACCCCAATCCTTCAGATTGTATTAAACTAATGGTCAATGTACTCGAGTGTGTCAGAGAAAGAGATGTTGTTATTAAGTCCTTCTGCAGCCACAATTCCTGCCCTAAGGTGAGGCTAATTTTTTATCCTTATTGATAAATGCATCAATTAATTTTTAATGCATACACAGCATTCTAATTCAGAGAATCTCCAGCTTTTTATTTACCCATTTTACAATTAATCTTTTAGTTCATTGATCAGTATGTGGTGGACATATGGTGTATCCGTATATGCTTGTGTGTATGTGTGATCATTACTGGTGAATGTTTTGCTCTGTTGGACTTGGAAGTCCTTTTTTTTTGTATGAATCTTTCTGATAAACTGCACCTACTTATTTTGTAAACTATTTATATAAATTATTCTGTTAGGGAGTTATATAATGGTATCTCTTTTCCCTTCTTGTGTGTTTAAAGAGGAAAAAGGAGAGGTGTGAGATGAGGTACAGATAAAACTGATAACCACGAAGTGTTTCTCCTATGCCGTGGCTACACAAGCATGCCTCTGCCGAGAGTTGCTTGTTCTGCTCTGACTTGCTTCAGGGTGCTCAGACACAAGTCAGCTTAGCCTGTCCTCCATGGAGAAATGACCATATGTCCCTGGGATAACAGAGGAGAAAGTTAGGTGGATGCCCTAAGGGAAGATACCACCTGGGTACACAGAGAACCAATCTGGAAGAACGAGCCTAGAAAGGTCTGTTTGACCAAGGAGCTCCCTCTTGCTCACAGCCCTGGAGGATATCGGCTCAAGTTGTAGGTAAGGTGCAACATTGCTCTCCCTTGCTTGGCTGTCTCTACATCAAACTGGACATCTTTCTATGTGTTATGTAGTATTAATTAAGAAGAGATGGGTTGGCCTGAGTTACAACAGCTGAGGTATGGCCTTTGAGGGCTAAGGAGGAGCAAACGTTTAGAAAACTTTCAGAAATACATTATTTTCCAATAAGTGTATTGAAACTGCTGTGTGCACAATGGTTTCTTTGGGTGACCTGCCAACTCTGCTTTTTCTGATTCAGAGCATTTCAAAATGCCTGCAGATCACTCAGACGTGAGCCCTTCTGTGTGTTACAAGACAGCTGGATATGGCCTGTGTTAGGAACATCACATATTATTCACGATCCATGGGAGCCCTCTTTAAAATCAGGAAGAATCCCCTGCTGCCTATGAAACACAGAGAGAAATAATGTCCCCAGCAGGAGCCCGGAGGGGCTTTAAACAACGGTGGACATTGACAAAACATGCTGTATGATTTGGAAGTGTAAGGCAAGCAAGGGATATTATTTTTTTAGCGGCAGAACCTGGGAAGGCAGCAGGAAGCCTGCACAATGTCCCTGCAGCCAGGGACCCTGAGTCATGAGAGCTGCGTTTTCAAAAAACCCAGGCAATCCCAAACAACTTTTGGGCCAAACTGAACCCTGTAAAATGCTTCATTCTGTCTGCAGAATAATCTTAGGGAGAGATTTGAAGCCAGAGATCACTGAAATGAGAGGAAAGGCAGTAGCTGTCCCATGCAGTGGCATCTTTACAAGACAGTTGTGTTTCTACAGGAAGCTCTGTAAGGGGAAGCTTTTGGGGAGCGATGTTTGTCCCACTCTTCCTAAACATCTGTACTTATTTCTAGATGGTGTTAGATCTGCTGCTTGGTAGAACATGGTGACGTGGGTGAGGGTTTGCTTTCATAAACTTGCTGCTGGGCTCTGCAGACTGCTTTCTGCACAGAAAGAACCTGTCTGTTCAGCCCTCGCTGCATGTAAGATTGCACAGAGCTGGATGTACCCTCCCATAACCTGCATTTTTGATCCGCTGAGCTGAGGCTCTGGTAAGCAAACCTCATCTGCAACGCAGGAAGAACGTGAGGCTGGGAGCTTGTTTCTTTCCTAACACCATGGCATGAGTTACCCCAGGTTGAACAGGGAGCCTTGCAGCATGTGCCCCACTGACCTGGGCTTTTCTGTGACCAATAGCTCTATTCCAGAGCCCCTGCTTATCTCTCAGACCTTATCCAAGGAAAAAAATGCAAACTAAAAATCCACTAAAGTTACTCAGGGAAAACTGAGTAAGAACTCTGGGATTTAGCCTAAAGCGTCTAAACTCACATTATAGAGCTCTGCTGCCATGAGAGAACACAGTGACCTTTGGAGTAAGACATTGGGGAGGAAGAAGAGATAAATGGGTATTTTTATTGTTGGCTTGTTTTTTCCTTTTGGTGTAAATTCCCTTGCTCCTATATTAGTGGTCTGGACAACCTCATAACTCAAGACACACTGAAGGCTGGATTTAGGCTGAGGAACGTAAGGTCTCTGCAGGGTGATTTTTAAGTCGCATTGTGGGAGCAGTTTTCCCAAAGTTCTCATTTAGGAGCTGGAAGATATTTACTATAGAAGTAAAATAAAACTTTGGACACCTGAAACAATATAGTGTATATTTAAACAAAGGTTTCAAACAGCCTGGGTTTCCACTGTGGGAGGCAAGGTTCTGCAATCAATCAATAGATTTGAAGCTCCCAACACAGGCACCAAACACCCTTGTGCAGGGTAACATCATGATGGACACGTGCCAGACCCAGGTGAGTCAAAGCTCTTATTCTTCCCAGGGGCAAAAATCACCTTCATGTGACAGGGGATGTGAAGGGAGAGAAGGGGAAGAAAGGAACCATGTAGCCATGCTCCGGACAGTGCTAGCACAAGGGCCAGAGCTCCTGAGCTTCCTGGACCACCTCCATGCCCGCCAGAACTGAGATCATAGCAGGGGTATTGGGTTTAAAATGACAGACTACAAGAAAAGGTGTTGGATTTACTTCTGCAATCAAAATGATCCCTTGGCCCTTTTGAGTGCTTGCATGTTACATGACTGAAATAATATCTGTGGCATCTGCTTTGTTCTTTTTTAATCTGTTGATATCAGTAGTGATGTTGGGCTTCAGATGAGGTCAATGAGTGTTTTTGTTGTGAAGAGGATTTGTTTTATACTTCGAAGTTTTAAAAGAAGGATCTAAGGAAAACGGCTACCAGACAGGATTAGAACTTAGCTTCTATTAGTGAGCACAGATCCTTACTCTTAACTTATATGCATATATTGTGTGGTTGTATTGAACTACTCCCAAGTCGTCTTGGCAGTTAATTAAATGCCAGGAATTTCAGTGTCATCACTTCTGCATAGCCTTATAAGCATGGCCTTGGTTCCACCGTGCCATTGGCAACAGTACCCTGAGACGGATGTGCACCCTGCACTGCGGATCCGATCCAGTCACCATCTCCATCCTGCACTCACAGGGATGAGGGCTCCAGTCCGGGGAGGGCTGAATAAATTCAAATGCCATTGCCTGGTGGGTGCTGAGGGTGCCCATCGCTCTCTGTGAAAAGTTCTCATTACCTTCCCACTGTCACAGTTTCATACTGTTTTATGTATTTGAGCTCATGTACGTGGTACTATGGTTTGTGCTCCCTGTTATCACCCAAGGGAAAATACCATGACTTGACCTTTGACATTTTCCTTTCTCTTTCTGCGGCTTGTCCCAGCGTTGGTGTGGCAGCCTTTGCTGATCAGATAGCACAAGGAAGCAGTGCAATCAAAGCCCGAAATGTGTCCTGAGGGACACAGCTATACTTCCTTTGGGCACAGGTGGCCTTATCTGTGTTGCCACGACCACTTCTCCTTAGCCCTGCCAACTTGCTTGTGCTCCTGCTTCTCAGCTAATGCTCGTTTCGGTAGTCATGCAGGATAAATGCATTTTCTAAGTGATGCCTGACTTTTATTGGAGTCTTTCCATAAACCAGAAACACTGGCCTACTTCTAACTTCTCTTAGACTGCGTGCAACAGGCTTCTTGAACAAAGCTGCATCAAGATTAAGTAAAGGTCTAATTTGTCCATCTCTACCATTTACAATGTTATTGAATTGGGTTTTTTTCTGTTCAGTTCTGTCCCAAATCTTCTTGCTTTCTTCCTATGAAGTTTTGAGTTTTTCTCATCGCTTCCTTTGTGCTGCTTTTGAAGCCACTTTCAGTAAATTTTCATTCATACTACTAATGTGCTTGTACAGATTCTTTCAAAATTGTGGATTAGTTTTGGCTTTTTTGTTTGTATTCATGGATCCAGATCTAACAATGCTGAGATGGATGGAAATCACAGCTACCAATTTCA